GGAAAGTACTGAGTCATCTTTGTGCTACCTCATAATCATGATTACCATAATAGTCTGTGGACAACAAAAGACTTTTAAGTTCTGCTAGCCATGGTTTTTAACATGGTTGATTGCTATACAAAAATTCATTTTATTTTTTTTAAGTTCTCTTTCTCTGTATCCATATGTGTGTATGTACGTATGTATTGTTGTTGTTGTTATGTGCCGTAGAGTCGAACCCGACTCATAGTGACCCCTCCTTGGGTTTCCGAGGTGGTGTCACTATGGAAGTAGGTTGCCCAGCTTTCCTTCCGAGGAGTAGCTTGGTGGGTTTGAACCACCAGCCTTCTGGTTAGCAGTCAAGTGCCTTAGGCACTATGCCACCAGAGCTCCTCTATGTATGTATATAATTTTATATTCTCCTCAGAAGGAAGATGGGACAATCTACATCCGTAGTGATACTGCCTCGGAAACCCAAGGAGGGGTCGCTATGAGTTGAGTCTGACTCAATGGCACATAAGAACAACAACATGCATTTTATATACACTTCTCTAGTTATTATCTGTCTCACAAATGTTGTGGTTAGTTGTCATTGAGTTGTCTTCTATTCATGTCAACCTTACACATAACAGAATGGATTGTTGCCTGGTCCTGCACCAACTTCCTGATCTTTGAGATATCGATCCATTTTTGCTGTTTTTGTGTCAATTCATCTCATTGAGGGTTTCCCTCATTTTTACCGACCCTGTACTTTACCAAACATGACATAAACTTCTCACAATGAAAGTTTTAAATATTAAATATAAGAACAATGTGTGATATTTAGAATTTGGAACAGAGGAAGCAAAGCATTTTGTAATTGCAGAATTGGGAGCCTACTGGATTCTAGGTCCATGGATCATCTTCCTATAACCTGTCTTGGGCTTTATGGGCTCTGGCTGTGTGTCCACCATGCATTCTCTGGCCTAGACCTCAAGCTTTGAAATCTTTTCTTGATTTCCTGTCCCAAAGTCCTGTCGTCTCAGTTCCTTCACGGGGTGAGAGGAAGGTCTTGGAGAGGGGGCCCACTTTCCCCTGCTACTGCCCACATGACCTTTCCAGCCCCAATGTGTGAGGGCTGTCTAGTGTCTGTGCTGGGAACTGATGGAACACGGGAGAGCTGGCTGTTGGGGTGCCAAGAGGGAGAGAAAATGACAGCCTCAGCCACTCTCTCTGCTTGTGCCACCGTCTCCAACCTGGAGCTGGTCCTGGCCACCTTCCCGCTCACTTCTTCTACCACCCCTCCTGCCCACTTTATTTCCTGATTCCTCTTCAGGTCTCTCCTTCTGTGGTTCCAGTTCCTAACTTCATTTCTGGGTTCCCCTTTGCCATTGGAAACCCTATGGAGCACAGTTTTCCACTGACACACATGGGTTCACCATGACTTGGAGTTGACTTGGCGACAACCATATGGTATCGATAGCTAGTGTGTTCAGGCATGAATCCAAGGCTGATCTGCGAACTTCTGAGGACAGTGGTCAGCAACTTCGGCCATGGGTTCAGTTGCTCACACAGAAAGAGAAAGGGTCACATGTGTGTGAGGCAGAGCAGTGGAAAGTAATTTTTTTTTTTTTGAGACATCTTCTCTTGACTTTGGCTGATATTTATTCCCGTGTTATATATGAGTAAAAACTTCTGAGGGATTAAGTGCCTTGTCTAAATTCAGATTCCAACATTATGCAGATTTTAACTTCAAATTCCCCATTTTTTAATTGTCACTGAGATACAGAGAGACAATCTTCTCCAATGCACACAGCATTTTTGTGAGGTACACACTGTGTTGTTGTTAGGTGCCGTAGAGTTCTGACTCCTAACAGCTCTGTGTGCAGCAGAACGAAACACTGCCCAGCCCTGCCCCATCCTCACCGTCCCTGCTGTGCCCGAGCCCATCCTTGCAGCCACTGTGTCAATCCGTCTTGTTGAGGCTCTTCCCCTTTTCAGCTGACCTGCTACTTTACCAGCATGATGTCATTTTCCAGGCACTGGTTCCGTCTAGCAACATGACCAAGGTTCATGAGACAAAGTCTGGCTTTTGTCATTTCTCAGGAGCGTTCCAGCTGTACTTCTTCCAGGACAGATTTGTTCATTCTTCTGGCAGTCCATGACATTTTCAGAATTCTCTAACGACACCACAATTCACATTACTGCTCTATTTATAGGTTAAAAAAAAAAAAAAAAAAAAAACCCAAGGCACAGAAGGGGTAAGGAATCTACAGACTCACAAAGTATATTAGGAGCAATGTTAGAACTCAGACCCAATGGTTTACTAACACTCCATGTTTTTTAAGAAACCACACCATTGCTGTCTAACAAAGGCCACATTGACCTGCTCTAAGGATCCAATAATCTCTGAGTAACACATTTAGGCTTTGTGTCCAAGGACCTCCTCATCTTAGGGGAATTTGGGCTGTCTGCTTGGGACACTGATGTCTGAAACATCTGCATTTCCTGACTACAAAAATGTGCAATTATTCTGTCTTGAAGCAGGAAATGTGGCAACTATAATTTTCCCTTCTTGAAGCAGGAGGATTGCAGTTCCTTCTCTGTTCTCTGAGTTCCAGGACTTGCCCATGGTTGGAATACTGTTTATTCTTCCCTCGACCACAGCTTTAGCCTCTCCTTCCTCAGCTGCAGTCCCTGCTCTTTGCCAACGTTCTCGGAGAACTTGCATCTCTACAGGGGACTCATATTCTAATTCCTGTGTCCACCGCCCCACCCCTGACCCATTTTATTTCTAGTAACTTCCTTCCAGCAAGTTTTACACCTGATGTATTATCCCATACTTTAAAATTGTGAGTGGCTGTGTTAGTGAATCCAAAACTATGAAACTTAGAGGTTAGAACAGAGTCTTGTGTTGCAACGAAATGGAGCAGCAATTTAGTGTGATATACATGTGATGATGTACTCAATCATTATTGGGTTATGTTGTGAATAGACATAAGTGGCAGGCAGCTTATGTAAGTGTCTGTAATTCCCATTGGTTCTATTCAGACTTCCATGGTGGTTTAATTCTCATGACTTCACATGCACAAGGCCTCTCATGTCTCCTTTCCAGGCACTGAAGAGGGAGTATCTGAGGCTGTGTTGTGGGCATGGAACAGCCAGTGCCTCAAGACTGTCTGCCTTTCTCTTGTGTGTCTTCCAGGATGGACAAAGACACTTCCTGTTACCTCCCTCACATGGCTCCCATTGTCCCAGATGTTCCCCTCCCTCTTCTACCCCTCCTTGCCTCACCCAGTTCTTCCAGCCCGGGTCAGTGGGAGATCAGCCAGTGCAAGGCTGGGGGCCCTCAGGTCAGGAGGCTGTCCCCGACAGCAGGTGCTTTCTAGAACTGACAGGAAGAAGGGTTGTGTCCCTTGGGGCCCAAGAGTCTCTCTCAAATTCTTAAAATATACTCAACACAACACGGTCGGGTCACCAAAACCTTCAGAGTGAAGGGAATCTCCTTATTCAAATTCTGGTTGCAAAGGAGCTACATATGGTGTTGAGGAGGTTCGGACCAGACCAAGAAAATACTTCAGCAGAAGTGTCTCTTCAGGGCTTTTCTGAAGAGCAGAGGGCCAGTTTTCTTGGTCACTTGGCTGCCTGGTCATCTTCTGAGGGATGTCTGAGCAGAGTCCTGCCCTGGACAGAGCCCTCCCCATCCTCATGGGCAATCCTCTGCCTCATCCAGGCTCTTCTTCAGGTGCCCTTCCCTAGGCCTGAGCTCACTTCAGACTGAGGAGGCCTCTGCCATCCCACCATGGGCCCATGTGGATGGGGGTCCCTTGGGAACAAGGGTAGGGTTGCAGAAGCTGAGTTTATCCTCTTCCACCCACACAATTCTCTAAATAACTTTGTACCTGATCAGTCTGCAGTTTCTCCCTGGCAGTGTGGTCATGTGTGCTGAAGATAAAGCAAACCCTAGCCATAGGCTGGGAACTCTAGTAGTGTAGTGCCTATGGCATTTGACTGCTACCCTGCTGAACAGTCAGAAATGCCAAGTCCTGTAGAAACATATTAGTCTCCACACAGCATGAATCATCACCATAAAACTGCCTTATCCTGAGTTGGCTACCACCCAGCTCCCAAAGCAGAGCCCAGAAGTCCTTCTGCCCCAAACAAGCAAGGACTTCTACCAGAGGGACAGATGGACAAAGGGGTCACTGACCAGATGACCTGTCTGGATTCACAGGCCCCAGGTAAGGCTCCCACAGGAAGGGATTTTGGGGACTGCCGGCTCAGAATTTGGAGTTTGCTCCTGGTGCATGCGTGTGAGTGTTGTTGTGGAGAGGTGCCTGGGCCCTGGTGTCCATTAGGGAGCTCTATCTGCAGTAGCCTGTGGATGACTGGTGTAGTGGTTTGATGCTATGTACTCCCTGGTCCGGTTGTACATGCGCTTTCTGCTGCCTCCTTCAGTGTATTTGGTGATCTCTTCAGTGACCAGGGGGATGGTGGTCACTGGGCATTCTTCTCACAGATCCAGCGGTAGTTGGTGTCACATGATGCAGCATCAAATGTCTTTGTTAGGCCTATGGTCACACAGTTGAAATTCTGATTGAAGTTGATCACACTAGTGAGAAAGAAGGTGTGGTTAAGGCCTTACAGTTTTCAGAGTAAGGGTGTCAGCGGGGTGTGAGGGAGGGGTGGGCGGCTGACCAGGTCTACATACTCATCCTCAGAACCAGCCTTCCTTTGCTACTCAGGTCCTCTGCCATCTTCAGCCGCCCTCTATAAGCCCCTTGGGGTTATGGATTTCAGTCTTGGATTAACTTGCTATCTCAGTTCTCTAGTTGCTGCTATAACAGAAATGCCACAAGTGTATGACTTTAGCAAACAGAAACTTATCCTCTCACAGTTTAGGAGTCTAGAAGTCTCAATGAAGGGTGTCAGCTCTAGAGAGAGGCTTTCTCTGTTGGCTCTGGAGAAAGATCCTTGTCTCCTTTAAACATCTGTGGGTGTGGAGTTCCTTGGAGAGCTCCATGTGCTTGGCCTCAATCTTCTACTGAGTCTAGGAGGTTCTCACTGCAGGGACTCTGGGCCCAAAGGATGTCCTCCATTCCTGGCTCTTCTTTCTTGGTAGTAGTTGGTCCCTCTGATCTCTGCTTGTTTGTTCAATCTCTTTATATCTCAAAAGAGATTGACTCAAGATACACTGTAACCCTGTAGATTGTATCCTGCTTCATTAACATAACTGCTTCTAATCCTGCTTCATTAACATCATAAACAAACTAAAAAACCAAACTCACTGAAAATTTACAACACATCACAAAAAGGAAGATAACCACCCAATATTGGGAATCAAGGCATAGCCAAGTAGACACATATCTTTTTGGATACAATCTGATCCATGACACCCTTGGGTTAGGTCAAGAACATGTCATGGGCATCCCTTTTTCTCCCAGAAACTAACTGTGTTCTAGATACGAAAGTGTGTGCTGAGTTTATAGCAGAAGAACAGAAAGGACAGGAAGGGATTCCTCCTCTTCTCCTAGTTACCAGCTGGCTTTAGATGTAACTTGGTGACAGAAGTGGGCCTTCTCCCACGTCTTCTCTGTCATTTGGTCTCTCACAGTTTTATGGGAAAGAGTGTGATTTCATGGAAAGGCCATGTCCTTTGGAGTCAAGTGGATGTCGGATCAAGTTACAGCTCTACCACCTCCCAGTTTGGAGATATTCAACTCATTTCTAAATTTCTCCAGTCCTCAATTCAATTATTTGTTAAATGGGGACTAATAAGAGGCTTTCTTCATCTTCTTTTTCTTTTAATAGCATTCTGATGAATACTGCAGGAAATAACATGTGTGAAGTGTTTCCTGTGATACCTGGCCTTCACGAGACATGGGTGGATTCTAAATTCCTTCCCTCTTTGACGATCCCAGTTCTGGACTGGAGAACTGACTTGCAGTCTGACTCAACATTCCCATATGTGCACTGAAACTGTTATGTTCTCCACAAACTGTGGGGTGATTCATAGGAGATAGCACTTAGGGGTTGGAGGTTCACAGCTTTAAGGCATAGACAAGTTCTTATACACTTTCTTTAGATAAAGAAACCACACCTGAGGAAATCTGTAGGAATATAATAATCAAATGTGGTTGACGGGTTAGAAGAGATTTATGAGATATATCAACCAAATACCATGTGGGTGGATTGTTTTGGATCCTGATTTGGACAAAATAGAGTTCATTATATGAATACTCTTCTTTCTGTTTATAAATGTTTGATATTTTCCATAATCAAAGGTTCACAAAAGTTATCTCTGGAAATAGATGGTGTTATTAATTGAATTCTGTCCCCCTAAAAGTTATGATGATGTCCTGACCCCTATAGCTGTGGATGTGATCCTGTTTGGAGATATTTTCTTTTCTTTTGTTATGTTATGTGATACCAGAGTAGGGTGGGTTCCAAACCCAATCCCTTCTGTGTGGTCTTACAAAAAGGGAAAACAGGCCCATATAAGGGAAGGCATCATGTGTAGATGGAGACAGATGAAATCTACAAGCCCAGGAATGCTAAGGGTTGCTGGTAGCTACAAGAGTTGTGAGAAGTAAAGAAGGACCTTCCCTTAGAACCAGTAATCTGAATTTGGATTTCTAGCCTTCTGAACTGTGAGAAAACACATAAAATCAAACTCACTGTTGGCGAGTCAGATGCAGCTCATAGCCACCCCTCCTTGGGTTTCCCAGGAGATATCACTGTGGGAGTAGATCACCCAATCTTCCTTCCGAGGAGTGGCTGGTGAGTTTGAACTGCCAACCTTCTGGTTCACAGTCAAATGCCTTAGGCACTATGCCACCAATATGTATCTGCTCTTTTTGTTTGTTTGTTATAGCAGTGCTAGCAAACTAAGACAGATGGGTTGCAGAAAAAGAGAGGCATAGAACAAAGAGCCATGTCCCTGCTTTGTGCTGCTCAGGATGAACTCACTGAACCCCAGGTCTGGTCTGTTGGGGAAAACTGAGGTCCCCAGAGAATGTGGGGTGTTCACATACTCGCCCTTGAAATTGGAGTTGTTGATCCATTGCCACCTTTTCTCCGCAGGCTTGTATGTTAAGCCTATGAAGTACTTCTCAGCACCAGTTATGTCTTGGAGAAACTTCTAGATATTGAAAACAAAACAAAAAGTTAGGTAGCAAGCCCTTCACAGCTGCCTCCCTTGTGCCAACAGGCCTGTGAATGCATCTGATTCTGGGAATCAGGAAGGCTGGTTGGGTGGGGTTGGCTGTCCCTCCCAGGCACAGTCAACCTCATAGAAGTGGTTCTCAGGCCCCAGAGGGCACCAGGGCCACCGGAAGTCTTGCTGAGATGCGTATTTCTGGGGTTCTGGTCCCATAGGTCTGGTAGAGGGACCAAGAACCTCTGGATCTGAGCAACTCCAGGGGCTGCTGCTGCCCTCTGCACATCACACCGAGATGAAGGAGAGGGGCTCTGTGCCATCTAAACAGGTTTTCAATACACCTTTTAAATCTTGCATGTCTGTCTACATAGGTTTGTTTGCATTGCCAGAAATTGTACCTTCTGAATGAGGGTGGATCGGGCAATAATAAATTGTGCCCAGGACCCTGAGTACTTATCAAGGGAAGAGAGTGGAGGATTTAAACCTGGAGTGCCAAAGCAGATACTCCAAGGAGGAGCAATTAAGTGTCCACTGGGTATTTGCTAAACTGACACTGGCCCAAGGCATCTTCATGAGTGTACTGATCACCACACCAGACATCTGGGAGTTCCCTGGCCTTCCCCTGTCCTCTTCACCTGCCTCCCATGATCAGTGGGTGTCCAAGTCTTATCCTCTTTATGCTCATGACTATTGCCTTAGTTTCTTCTTCCCCACAAGTCTCCTCCCTGAAATATCCCATTTTGTTGATTTTTAAAGCTAAATACTGAATATGTTCATTTAACAAACATTTTTTTTGAGTGTCTATTTTGTGCCAGGCATTGTGCTAGGCTGGGGCCATGGAAACAGGTCTGTTTCTACTCAAAGAAATTACAGTCTAACAGGGCTTGACAAATGATAGCCAGGGGGCCAAAGCCACACTGCAGCCTGTTTTTGTCATAAAGTTTCATTTACATATTGTCTATGACTGCCTTTGAGCTCAAATGTCAGAGTTGAGTATTACGGACAGAGACTGTAGATCGAGGCAAAGTCGACAGTATTTACTCTCTAGTCCTTTAAGAAAAAATTGTCTGGCTCATTGTCTGACATAAAGATTCTTACCCTTTGATTGTCTCTTGGAAGCCATGGATGGTTTCCAAGGGAATCTATGGGGTCCCTGAAATTTGATTCAAAACATTGAACTTATGTGATGTTTCTGGGAAGTGGGGCATGGCTTTCATCACAGTACTTAAAATATCAATGATGCCAACATGATTAAGAACCATGAGTGTAACAATAGACAGATGGTTAACCAACAAGGTGATAGATTACAGGCATGGTGGTAAGAAATGTCTGATATGGGCACAAAGAGGGAGCGATCACTTCTGCATGGATTTGGAGTTTTCTAGAAAGCCCATAGATGAGGTTTTATTTGAGCTGAATTTTCGGAGATAGAAGGAAGCCACCTGTGGAACGGCCTGGAGTGTTTGGAGAACAGTGAGGTATTCAGTGTGATAGATGCAGAGGTGGACTGGAGGTGTTTTGAGAGCTGAGGCTGGAGAGAAGCCAGAAGCTGTACTATGCAAAGTCTAGATGTCATGCTAGGAAAACTAGACATTAACCCAGTTTAATTTGGAAAATAGCACAAAGAGTTTGGAGCCTCAGAAATATTATTATGTTAGCTCTGTGGATGACAGGCAGGACAGGGGCAAAACTGAGGGGGAAGAGGAGAGCTAGAGGAATTCTAAAGCTCTCTGGTTGCAAGCTGACCAATGACTGTGCGAACAGAGAGAACAGGACTTTAGTAGCCAGCTTAGGAGGTCAGGGAGAAGGTGATGTCCCAGGAAATGCTGAGCTTCTGTCTTCAATGACATGATTACTGTATCTTTATGCAAAACCCCCTCTCGTATTAGTTTCTTATGACTGCTAAGTGTGTTACATGCATGTGCACATTACTTACATGTGCACATTATATATGAAAAATACAGAACTCACTAAGATTAAGAATACAAAAGGCAGGGTAGTTGGGGCAAAGCATAATTGACCTTGATTTTGAACCTGTTGTACTGATGCTTTTGAAAGATCAAGATGGACCTTGATGTACTGTGTGGTCTCCAGGAGAAGGCTGAGCTGTGGGGAGAGACTTGATTGTCGTGGGCAAACCTGTGGTGTGACGAGCTCCTCCTGGGGCAAGAAGGGAGTAACAGAGGTGCAGAAAGCCACAGATGGAACTGGGATGCACCAAAATGTAGGGGCAAGTACAAGGGGACATTCTCTGCCTGTCTGGTCGCCCCCCCTTCCTCTCCCTCTGCTCCTCCCATCTGCATCCTGGTCTTCTGCTTTAGGACACATTCCTGCCCACCCGGGTCCTTAGCCCTGGAGCTCTGTAGCATCTATCAGAATTCTTGTCCTGTGTGGACAAGAATTCAGTGAAGAAGACCCTCTACCAAGTTCTTCTATACCAGAGGACATTGAGAGAAGCAAGTCGCAGTGTATCTAGTACAGTAACTGTCACTCAGCAAAGGCTTAGGATTTGGAGGAGAGGTGACTGCAAGTAAGCTTGATGAAGAGTATGTATTTTGGAGTCAGGTTTGAACTCAGTTCCATGTTCTGTCATGTAATAGTTGTATGACCTTGATCAGATTATTTTCTGTGTCTTATTTCCTTGTATATAAACTGTGGCCAATAATACCTCCTTCTCAGAGTGATACGAGGAAAACTGGAGATAATGAATATAAAGCTCTGTGCATAAGGTTAGGTGTTTTTATTGCCATTATCATAAACTGTGATCCCAGATCTGTGGCTTCTTCATTTTCCCTATTGCTAATTGTGCTAATTCACACCTTCCTTCATTTACTAGGGAGAGTGGGCATTGGCATCTTACATCTATGGAGGGTTCTGTAGTTTTCAAACAATTTTTACCCACATTTGATTGCTGCATCATCCATGCACGTCTTGGACCACACACCTGTGACCAGCCCATGCTGTGCATGATGGGAAAGGCCATGGACTGCAGATTTCTGTAGCTTGGCTGGACCTGAGGAACACACCCCACTCTACCGAGAAGAGTCTTCACCCCAGGCTCAGAGTGAGGAGCTTCAGTTGTCCTTCCCCACGTCCCACTTCACCAGTCCCATAGTTCCAGTGCCTCTCCCCATGGCGGTTGGGGCAGGGTGGGCTGCCCTCCTGATCCCCCCCATACTCTCACCTGCTTCTCTGGGGTGTCAACTATTGCCAGAGTGGAGCCTTCTGCTTCACAAAAGCTCTTGCTTTCCTTCCAAGACAGTTCAGAAGTGGCCAAGAGGAAGCATCTCCCTTGATGCAGATCCCACCCTCTGGGGCAGACTGGAGACATCCAAGAAGAGAGAACATGACCAATTAGTGGTTAGGGTAAGACCCTGGAACTGAGTCATAAGGCAGTGAGATATTGGTTTCTTTATAACAATTGTTGTAGGTTGTTGAGTCCATTCCAACTCATGGTGACCCCATGTGACAGAGTAGAACTGCTCCATAGGGTTTCCTAGTCTGTCATCTTTATGGGAGCAGATGATCAAGTCTTTCTCCCATGGAACCATTGGGTGGGTTTGAACTGCCACCCTTTTGGTTAGCAGCTGAGTGCTTAAGTGTTGTACCACCTGAGCTCCTTTACAG